CGGATGTTCCAGAAAGGGAACATTGGTGTGTAAAGGTATATTTTTTAACATGATGAAATTACTTTGATTGCCATGAATAGAGGCACGGAGAAAGATTTTCCAAATGTGAAAAGTTCCAATAAGTGTGGAAAAAACGGATGCTTATGACTGTTACTCTGTTTTCGACTTCCATATATCCCCCTCCTTTCCTTTCACGCATTCCCATAAGGGTTTGAAGTGAGTTACTCTTAGCTGCTAGAGAAAAGCACTTGGAGTTTCTTGATAGGCTAGATGCTAGGGGTTGTTTATGATCATATATTTCGGAGTGTGGATTTCATTATTTTGCCATTGTTTGCATTTTTTTCAGTTCATGAAGATACGCTACGCTGATAAAATGGCTCATTCAAAACCATTTCAGACTATTGAAGAAGCATTGGAATATTTTTATTCATTATCAGATGATGAAGGGTGTAGGCTTCCTATGTTTCTGCTTAATCTATGTTACTTCCGAATAACGTTGACAAATTCACTTGCTAATGAAAAAGTGCAGACAAAAATGAAGCTTCGAATTAGAATGTTGATAATCATGTTTTACAAAAATCATGTAAAAAAAAAACTAATTGTTTCTTGCCAATGTTCCATTTATGGAACATGTTATAAAACATTAAGAAAATTTAAAAAAAAAAAAAAAAAAAAAAAAAAAAAAAAATTTTTTTTTTTTTCTTAATTTTTATATTTGAGTTTTAAATTTATTTTTTCATAATAAAAACGTTTATCTTACTTTTGCATCATAGTTTGGTGTGTAAAAAGTTAAAATGTAAATAATAACATCAAAGTTACTTACTTCAGATCCAGAGACGCGTAGATTACTAACCAAGTTCATTATGTTGTCTCATTGACAGATCTTTGGATTTTCTTATGGTAGCTAAATGTTTACGCGTCAAAATTTGATTCACTACTCTTTAGCACTGCTACAGCTTGCAGTTTCTTCCATATTTTACATGCCGTGTCTTCACGTTGAAGAGAAGCAATAATATTTTCACTTAAAAGTGCAAGAATTAAGGCGTAAGCCTTTTTTGATTTCAAAACATCTGCAGTTCTGTCCGCACTTGCTTCTGTTTCCAAAAATGTATCAAATTCCTTTGCAGTAAATACTGCTTGAACTGTTTGACACCAAACAGCAAAGTTATTAATGCCATGAAATGGCACAACACCAAAAGCCTCCTTCTCACTTCCGGTTGAAAAGTCATTATTCACGAAAAATCGAAACAAAATCATGCGAATGATAAATTATGACACTGGCATAGAAGGTTCAATTAGAAAAAATATCAGCACATTTTAATTTTGATGAACCACGCTCTGCTGTTGAACATTGAAAATGCCATGGTTCAAAAAACAAATATTTATTACAGAGGCAATATGCAGAGATACACGCACAGAAATACACGCAGAGAGTGAAAACGTTTACAGAAGTTATATATATAACTTTACAACAGATCATGGTTTAACAAAACGTAAACAAGACACAATAAACAACCAATTAAAAATAATGCAGAATGGGATTAAGTTTCAGAATAATTCGGACCTGACCGAAGGCTATGCTTCTTTTTAACCAATAAGAATGCGATTACAAATATCTCAACAGTAATAAATGAAGACAATATAACAGTCGGATGTTTCAAATTCTAACGCATATTTATTATATAGCATGTAAAACTTCAATATCAGAAACCAATGATTTCAAAATGACTTTATGCCATATACTTAAACAAAACCATGCACTATAAGCACTGTAATCTTTATGTCCTACTAAGATATAATTTTTGGCTGAATGCATATGAAATACAGTAGCTTTAGATATTAAGTAAATATCCATCACAGATATACCATATTTGCTAAAAATTGAAGCTCAAAATTATTAATTATGAATTTTGATTCAATCTTGGAGCAATTATTAAATGCATTCCCATAACATGTAGAGAAGACACAGTTCTAATAAAAATTCTTACATTTAATTTTCTGTAAATTTCAAGTTTATTGTAAATTTTCATACATGCATGATAAAAATTAGCATTGATTTAGATTACTGAGAATAAGAAATTCTAATAAATCAATTACTGAAAGACTAAATCATCTAGAATCATTAAAAATTCTAAAAGATGAGTTTGCTTAAATAAATTTATAATAATCTAATCGCATGTTTCCTGTAAATAAAATGAAATATAATTGGCTGTAGTACTTTGAATGTTAGCAGATTATAAAATTTAAATAATTATTGTATGACACCTTTTTTTCTTCACACATTTCAGTCATTTCTAATTTATAATAAAATAGCAACAATTTTTTACATATTCTAATTTAAATCCCACATTAGGTACCAGCTCAACTTCAAGCAAGAATGTCTTTTTTGTGCGATGTCTTAGGAAGAGCTACATTTATTCTGCTACTCATTAAATTATAAAGAGGAGGGGATAATGACTGAATTTTATCAGGCATGTAATTTAAGGGGAAAAACAGTTATTAAAAAACCTTAAACCCATCAGTCTACTTCAGATGAGTCTTTTTTTTTTTTTTTTTTTTGAATAGGAATATAACATTTTTGAAGAAATTTCTAACCTAATTATCTGACCAGTGATTAAAAATTAACGCATTCCTTAATTAAAAAATATTGTAACTGAGATTTATTACAGTAAAGAAACAAGTATGCAATCAGCATAAAAATTTTTAAGACTGAATTCAATAAAGTAAATAAATTTTGATGTGTTCTGATGCTATTCTGAATTTTTTAAACCCGATGAACAAAACCTTGTTCCTCTTCTAAAGATAACTTTTTTTAACCTTCCTCATTCGCACTGCAGCCCAGTAAATAAAAGCTAATTTAATTAGAAAAACTGAAATTGAAGTACAGTCATTTTGATACAAGGATAATAATCAACCAGATAAAAGCATTATAAAGATATTCACCTCACATATAATATTTAGTAAATCAGACTACTTATGCTTTTAATTTTGATCATCGATACATCATGATTCACCGATACGTCTAAAGGCTGCAATTGGCTAGTCAGTCCACCAGGAATGACAGCTATCTGAGTTTTTAATTCTCTCGCTTTATTCTTTATGGTTTCAGTTCGATGGGTGCTTAACTGATCCAAAACCAAAAGAGAGGGTTTCTTAAGAGTCCACCGGGTCGCCTCGCCCATATGTTCTGTAACCATAGTTTCATTCCAGCTTCGTCCATTCAGCCTTTGGAAGAACATGAACAATTACACCCGTTGGAAGATTTTCTTTTGGATGAGTTTTTCTTTTGAATATGAAAAACGGCAGTACTGTATTTGATGGCATATAAGACACACTTTTTTTCCTAAATTTGGTCTCAAAAAAGTTACCTGCATCTTATACGTGAAGCACACAGGTTAACCTTCAATACTGAATGCTATTTTTAGCCCGGATAAAGATCTAGACACGCATAACTTTTTCTACATCTACATGTTTATGGCCTTCTAAATAAGGGTGCATTTTATATGCCGTCAAATACGGTAGTTTTGTGCCATCAGCACAACATGTTAGAACTACCGTATATTGGGTTTTTTCATGACCTGTGGTTTTTATGGTTATTGATTTAGACCCTTTAATACTCAGTCTTGTTGGATGGTACATCAAATGTGAGTGAAATTTCATCCATATTTCCTATTTGGCTGAGCTCAAAAGAAGTTTTCTTGCATGCATTTATAACAAAACTATGAAATGCTAGTACTTTTTCTTCATAATCTGCTGGCATTTTCTGTGCAATAGTTGTTTTTGTGCGCATTGATAAGCCTTGCCTTTTCATGAACCTGTAGCACCAGCCCTCAGACCCTGAAAAGTTCTGATTCCCATGTTTTCTTCAAATCCTTTGGCCTCATTGATTATCATTTTAGTTGAAACACTTATCCCAGATTTCCTCTTACCTATAACCCACATTTTTACGGCATTTTCAAGTTCAGGCCAAGATGGAGCTGGGCATCGAAGGTTATATTTTTGTTTTTTAGCAGCCTTCAGTTGATCTTCCTGCAGTCGCCAAGTACGTATCATTTTTTCGGTAGGTGGTGGACCGAAATGCCTTGCTGCTGCTCTGTTTCCATGCACTTTGGAGTAATTTAACACTCCTAGTTTATATTGAATTGCATAGCTTAATCTCTTGTTTCCTGTAGTCATATTTTCCAGGGTATTTTTTTAAACAAATAGTTTTAAGCACCAATACCGACATGTGTGTCGGCTGAATCAAAGAAAGTCCATGTAAAGAAGGAAAGGCTCCACAGACGTAATGTGACTGTCGAACCCGTTCGAACTTCGACATCAGCTTCGAGCTTTGGCGCTTTTTAGCGACAGATATTTTATCACAAAATAATTATGGCAGATGTAGAAAAAGTTATGTGTGTCTAGACCTTTATCTGGGCTAAAAATAGCATTCAGTATTGAAAGTTAACCTGTGTCCTTCACGTATAAGATGCAGGTAACTTTTTTAAGACCAAATTTAGGAAAAAAAATGCGTCTTATATGCCGTCAAATACGGTAAATGCTATACTCTCAAATACTTTAAATCTGAAAGAAATCTGGCTGGTTAACTTTATATTTTACATAATATCAAGTATGAATAATTTATTGTTAAGCAGTAGTCAAGTTAGCATTAAAATAATAAATAAAGATATTTTACACAACTACTGTCAACAGAGACTATGGTTTTGTCTATCTGAAAGCTTACATAACATACAATGTTTCCTTTGCATACAACAATCTTCTAAAAGTAATATCAAGCTCAAACATTAACATTTTTCTATTGTAAAATAACAGTTTTTTGTATTAAAAATTCACTAAAAGCTATTATAAAAGCTTTTAGTGAATTTTTATGCAAACTAGTTGTATACAATTAGCTTGTGCCACTACTTTCCAGTATATATATATATATTTTAAGAAATATATATTTAAGTATTTTGTATTCTTAAATATATACAGATGATTTATCATAATAAATATTTTACCTGCAGTTTTTTTCTGTAATAAGGCCTCTAATTCAATTATTTTACTTTTTAAAGATAAGTTTTCAGATTCTACTTGTGATAGCTTCAAACTCTCAATAGATTGCTGATCTGTTTTTATTGTTTCAGCCTAAGGATAAAAAATATTATGTAACTTTCTCTTATACTTAATCCCTATAAAAAAACGAAAACAATATATACATGCCAAGATGATCTAAAAAAAGTTATAAATAAATAGTCCTTGAAATAAAAGATTTATTTAATTATAAGAATGATTTTATTAAATATAACAAATTATGAATTAAGACACAACACGCCGAACAAATACTAATTCAGAAGTCAAACAACAAATTTTGAAAATATAACGCTGATTTTTGTTGTTTAACTTCTGAATTAAATTATGAATTATTAAACATTTGATTAGAATATTCATTGAATTCATAGTAGATTTTACATTTGTAGATTAAGTTAACTGCAATTAATAATCACAAGTATATTGATAACAAAACCTAATAACATTTCAGGTTTGATTATCAACAATTAAATACACTGATGTCTAAAATTATCTTTATGTGGACCAAAGCACTGGTTTCTCAAATACTGTTAAGTAACAGAATGAATTTATTTGAAATGATACAGCATCAAAACAGAAAAAACATAATGAAAAATCAAATATGAAGACATACAACACAAAAATGTATCATGAAACCAACTGAAATAATATGTAGGAACAAAATTTTAAGGGGGAAGTGAATATCTCAGAAAACAAATAGATACTTCTGACATTAACAGAACATGTGATCACTAACTAATATCATAATAAAATTATTTATATATCATAATATAATAATAATATATAATTTCATACTCTTAATAAGAAGGTTAATTAGAATTTAGGAGACTGAATTCTACTTCTCCATCATTATAAGCTTTAAGGCACTGTAATGTATTCAGCTATTTTCTTTATGAGCATTCCACAGTTCACATAAAAGTTATTTTCTTATGACCAGTTAGCAATTCTCAGAAAAGCTGAATGTGATCTTTAATCACATACCATTCTCAAGTCTGTTTTCTTTCATGGCAGTCAAAAGGAGAACATTTTTTCATTCCTGAGAAAAACTGGAACATTGGAATCCCTTGTACTAAACCCCAGGCATCTGTTTAAAGGTATATTATTATGCATCAAATGCTTGCCACCGACCGCTCTGTAGGTGCAGAATTCAAAGATAACATCCCAAGTTTAAGTCTGGAAATTTTCATGAAAAATTTCTCAGGCCTGTCAGTATTATACCTGCAAACAATCAGAGTGCTCTCGCTAACCAACAGACGCTCTGAAATTTTGGGTAAATAAGAATTCAGGAAGTCTTGCTGACACTAAATTTTGCCAATCAATAGTTCATGGAAAGTCATCAGTAAGTTCTCTGTGAAATTCAATCTAGGAGATAGGGCTAGGCAGGTTTAAAAAAATTCATCTGCTAAGTTTGTTTCATATGGAAGTGGGCTACCATTTACAAAAAGAACCATATGCAGCTCTAAACAGCCTTCCCTATGGTTATAAAATTTCACCGCAACATAGCATGGAAGTTACAGACCTTCCATCAAATACAACAGAGAAATATTCTAGTGATTATTACTGTTCTCCATATTACAACACTACATGGACTAACCATAATAGTTCTTAATGTCAGTGGGAAAATTTCATATTTCTAGCTTCCTTTGCTGCAAATGTATTTACAACCAGATGTTAATTTGAACATTGATTCATCGCTGAAAAGAACACGACCTACTGCTACAGATACCAAGATCTTATGTTCTTTTGTTCAGTTCAGGTAAATTAATTCACTTACAGATATTCAGGTGCCTATCTGTTGTTAAGCAAATGAAACATACACCACTTAATTTATAGATAAAGGAATTCATCCTTCTGTATATAGCATGCCACAATACAAAGCAGTAGCAGCTGCAATCTCTAAGCTTAGGTGTTTAGCAATCAAGTTCCTGCTGGGATGACCAGAAATAAATCTCCAAAAAGCAGCTGGTCATCCCCCCTGCCACAACCTAATTTTAGTCTTCAAGTAATAGTTCAGATTTTAGTCGTATTCATAGAGGGGAAACTGTCAATCTTGAAAGAGTAAACATCTTATATTTCTCTAAACATCTTGCATCTAAATGGCTGACAGATATCAACTTTAGAAATTCTATAAAATGATATGTCAGTATCAAAAAAATTTTTTTGAATTAATAATAAACTCTGAAATAAAATCCTAAATTTCAGATGTTAGATGGGGCATACTTCACATAAAATGTTGCACTGCCTTTGCATACCTTCATGATCATTATTTGCATTAAAAAAAAAAAAAACTGGATTAGACAATAATAATTAAATTTGCCTTTTGTTTATCATAAAAAAAATCTGACTGACTCATTACTTTATAAAGTTCTATTATTTCCCTGTCTATACAGAATATTAGACATCAGTGTATTTTTTAAATTGCTTGAATATTATTTTCATTTTTTTTAAATTCAAGAAGTATTCACTAAAGGAAAAAAGTACATAAATCTGCTTATAGTTTATCAAACAAATAAATAACAAATTAACACCTGCATGTGATGAAAAAATAAGTTATTTTCAAAAGTAAAATATCACATTACAGTAAAGGCTTCTAGTGAAAATTACATGTAATATAATGAGAATCATTTTGGACATGGAGTACCTCTGCTTAATTAAGCAATTACCTCCATATCATCATTAAGAAATATGAATTTATTCAGAAAGAGCATAGCTAAAGTTATGAAAAAGAATTGTTATGGGTTTAAAGGTCCAAGAGCAGTGCAGGATTACGTATAAGCTACACAAGCTATAAGCTTAGGGCCCCCACTTTCTTAAAGGCCCCCCAAAATTAAAATATAGTACAAATATAGTAAAGCAGACTTAGGGCCCCATATCTCAAATAGCTTAGGGCCTTATCAAGTCTATATCCACCTCTGTCCAAGAGATGAATAAGAAGTCCCCACAATGGGATGATAAAAGTCTTCAAACAGCTCTTTTACCTGAGAGGGGGGCAGGAGAACCCAAGGAGAGCCAATTGAGTAGTGAAATAGGTGATAATTGAGGTGATTACTGGTATGCGATAGCGTGAATAGCAGTCAAACGGGTTAAAAGAGCAAGAAGTGGGAGCATTGTCCAGGCTTAGGGAAAGGAATTAAGGTAAGTGTAAAGCCAGTAAAGATTGTTAAATGCCTTTATTCAGTGGTTGGAGGGGTATGGAAGAGATCACTGACCTAAAGAACTGATTGCAGGGTGTAAAGAAGTTACACGAGGAGGCAAAATCAGCTGTTCTGCTTTCGGACAAAGAAGTCAAAGACTGTTCTGGCTAAAAAATTGATACGTACGAAGCATGCGCTGTTAGCTAAACGCAATTTTTATTCTAAGAATAAATAATGATGTTTTATTAAGTAATTGTGTTGAAAGATTAACTAAGGTGTATTTAATATTTTAAGTAGTTAAAATTAAAATTACTAGCACAGATAAAATATTAACAGAGTTTAATTTAGTTAAATTAAGAGATGATTAAAAAGAGAATCACTTTGGTAATTTTTACTAAAAACAATTTTTGTGAATGTGAAACGGAAAACAATATCCAAACATTCATTCAATCAATACAATATTTAATAATATCTATTAGTGATTCTGATTTAGTTTACTTATTATCTCTTTAAGTTTTTTCTTTAATCTGCATACATTAAATTGATAAAATATTCCTAATATAGTTCTCCCCCTGGGGTGGAGGAGGAGAAAGAAGCAGTTAAAAAACTGTAAGATAACATATAAACAGTATATAAACTTGCATAAATATTTCAAACTGATTTCTTCCCAGCCTGAACACTGTGGAAAATTTCTGTATGCATTAGATCAACATTTAAATAAAAATTATACCATAAAATTGTCTTACCTTATATGCTTCACATTCGTTTTCTTTCTGATGAAGTAAATCCTGATTTGCAGTAAGAACACGTTTCAGTTCTAGATTTTTGCTTTCAATATCAGTAATTCTAAAAAATACAAATTAAATTCCTGCTCATAATCTTATTACCTACAAATTATTAACGCATAAAGATTCCATTAGAAAGGAAGGCCTGAAAATTTAATAGAACAAAATTATTAAACAGATGTAATTTTTATTTTTGCTTTCAGCCTTCGTCCAAACGAGTTTTTAAAATTTAATTAATTAATTAGTTGTTTCACATTAATTCTTTGGTGTTTTTAATAAACTTTTGCACATATAAGTTGCAAATGCAAGCAATATTTTGAAAGTATGGTCTAACCAAGTTAACTGTTTACCTAACAAGTCAACAACCTACAGCCATGCTTCGCAAGCTATTTTTAGATTCAGTACTGGCGAGTGAGATGATTTACTAGTTAATAGGTTGGTATTAGGCATATATGAATTATAGTGGAGCTAATGTTTAGTAGAGCACATTCTTTTAACTAAATACTTTAGAATAACTTGAAACCTGAAAATAGCAGTGGACAGTTTTTGTTCTAAATTTCAGCTGTGGTCTATCTCTACTAGCAAATAATACATAGTTGAGTTTTAACTTTATACATTATTGCAACTCAGTTACGATTAATTTAAATATGGAAAAGCATGCGAGAGCTATCTGCCTAAGGGGAAGGATGCTTTCATGGTGGACTTTCTTATGGAAACTAGCTTATATATATATGTATGTTACACATGAGGAAAACCACGAAAATGCCCATACATGTCTATTTCCTGCACATGCTTAAGGCTTATGAGTTTTGAATAAATAATTCCCATATATACTTAGCCTTATTGAGGGCAGGTGATAGATATCTTACGGCCTGATTATGGCCTCTGTGGGTCCTAAATTCTCGGCCGGTGCAGCCATACGAGCCCTCGTGCCGGTTTGGGGTTTATGTGAATAAAAAATCAGTTATTCTTAATTCAAATAGCTCTAAATGTAATCTTTGGGTCAATGAGTATCATCAACAAAATCTATTTTTTGCATATGGAAAGAAATTTTTGTTAAATTTTTCCTCGTCAACAGTTTTTTAGCACATTTAACTTAAATTTGTAATCGCCGCCAAGCGTAATGCCAATATAAAAGGTTATCATACTACTTTATTATTGAATGAATGGAATGATTATGAAAGGAATGTACTTATTATTAACGGACAGTATAATAAATAACGATTTGCCAGGTTGGCATCAAATAACGATGTATTTATGTGGAATGTTTCGGTTCTAGATGTGTGCCAAGCAGATACGCAGCAACAGAGCCAAATTACTGATGGTACAAATTTATGCTAAAATGATTGTTTCTTCAATAACAAGGTATTTTATTTAGTTTCGAAGTGAAATTAAGAATCGGGACTCTCCAGATGTTTTATTATGCACAGAGGGGGTATCAAAGGCGCATGCATAAAGCCTAAGAGAAAAACCTTGTTGGTAGTTTTGAGGTCTGGATTTTAGACCATTTCGGATATTGGATGTCAGAATTTCGGACTTTGTACCATACTCATAAACCAAAGAATTACATTTAGTGCTTTTTGAATTAAGAATAACTGATTTGTTTTCACATAAACTCAGAACCAGCACTAGAGATCAGATTGCCGAATTTTAGAGATGACAAAATTTTGGAATTTAGAGAAGCACCGAACAACAAATTAAGGGACAATAAAATATTTAGAATTTAGGGAAAGCACTGAAACCCAAAATTTAGAGGCAGCAGAAATTTAAAACTTAGGAAACCGCTTGGTAGCAGAATTTAGGACGTGCATGTGCATATTTAAGCATCTGCAAGAAATATACGTAAGTATAATAAATAACTAAACTAATACAATTCAAGCTTAATTGTCTCACTGCATGATAGAAGGAAGATAAAATTTAGCGGAACAACTAGTCTTCCGTAGCCAGTCTCATGATACATAGTCAATAATGTATAGCGGATGCTATTAAGCTAGACTAAAATTATACTTTACAGATTCCAAGAACTTTCAGTTAATATAGTGGATTGCACTGCTCCTTAACTTTCTGAATTGATCCAGCTGATTAGTTTTTCAGGCTGTTATTATTACAGCATTTTGAAATTAAAGCTTGAACTTTCGATTATGCCAAAATAATTCTGGAGCTGCAACAGGATCTACAAAGTGACAGCATTCATAAACAAAAGGTGCAATTGCTCAAAAAATGGATAAAGGTATATTCATCTCATTCAAGGAGTATGGCATGGGATAATCAAATGTATACGACATAAGAAAACAGAGAAAGGAACTTTTTGAATTTTGGGGGGATTTCGATGCCTCACTCACAATGAAAACAGGAAAAATTTTAAAAATTAAGTTGAAAAATGATTTGTTATGCTAAAAGTGATGGTCAGACAGTGTTGCAGCAGGGGCGTGACCTTGATGGGTCCAGTGCTTATGGCTAAATATTTCATGAAGAAATGAACAAAGTCAAAATATTTCATGAAGAAATGAACTTAAAAAATGAATGCACATATTCGACAGGTTGGTTAACCAAATTTAAAAATCGCCATGGTAATAGCAATCAAAAATTTCAGGTGAAAGAGCTTCAGTTGATACTGAAGCTGCTGAACTATTTGCAAATGAATTAATTTAAATCCTTAATAATGAAAACTTGATGAAACTGGTCTTTTCTGGCCATTAACTGGTACCGCGAAACACCTTGGCAACCTCTACAGAAAGGGCTCTAGCAGGCGTCAAAGATTCCAAAGCGAGATCAACAATTTTAACATGCGCAAATGATGCAAGTATGCACAAGTGTAAACTTTTAATAATCGGGGAAAAAAAACAGGACCTCAAGCATTTAAAGGAGTAAACATTTTCCTCATTATATATCATGCAAATAAAACAAAATATGGATGACACAAGCATTAATGAATGTTTGGTTTGAAAATCATCTCATACACGAGGCTCAACAACATTTGAATTCAGTTGGTGTACATAATAACGCAACAATTGCCCTCAATGTATAATAACTGTTCGATCTGCATTTCAATGAAGTTTTAGTGAAAGATAATGTATCTGTATTATTTTTTTCTCCAAACTGTATGTCCATCATTTAGCCTATGGATAATAAGAGTAGTGCATGTGCTGAAATGCAAATATAAAGAAGCATTTTTAAAATCCATGCTAAATTTCTTGAACAATAGCAAGATTATTCAAGAATATTTTAGCATAAAATCTGCTGTGTGAAGCATCGCAAGACCGCGGGAGGATGTGTCTCCAGATAATTTTAAAACTGCTTGGCATAACTTACGGCCAGCTACTATATTTCATGGTAGGATGATGAAGATGATAGCCGTGAATCTGAAGATTTTCGGGTATTGCAAACCAAAGGTGAAATTTTCCAATTAGTGAAATTTTCCAATTAATGGATTTCGTAAAGAAATTTAGAGAAGCAGTAATAAATGAAAACGATAAAACAGAAATTTTTTATTGCAATGAAACCCCAATCATGAATCAATTAACGGATGGCAGAATCTGTATGGTTCTAGATCCAGAAAATATCGCAACCGATAGTGAAGAAAGTGACGAAAAGGTTACTGACAATGAAAAAATTTCGATTGACAACTTAGTCAGAATGCTTGACACAGGAATTACAGGACTTGAACAATGGAACTTTGTAACTGAACAAGAAATTACATCTGTCTATAGAAATAAAGAGAAAATATTAGCACAAAAAAAAAAAAAAAAAAAAAAAAAAAAAAAAAAAAGAAGCAACGTAAACAACTTACATTAAAAGAAATGTTTAATAAAGTAAACAAATAAATATTAAGCTTTTTTTTGAAAATTTTGATACCCTTTAGATCATAAATGCTTCATTACCATGATTCATATTTTTTATTTTATAATTTCTACATGCCATCTTACTAGATTTAAACTGATGATCTAATATCTGGAAAATTCCCAAATCCGGAATTCCTGAAGTCCCAATCATAGACTTTGTACTGTATGACTTTATTCTTTGTATGGCTATTAAATTACACATATGTTTGGCTGCACTTCATTTACGCTTAATTCCTTGAATTATGCTAATTTTATTAACTGATACTCAAAACAAGTCTATAATGACATAAAAAAATGCAAATTTTGAAATTAAATATCATTGTCAAGTTTTGTTGTAGGAGAGACAAACTTCCTGTTTTTTTATTTTTTCATAACAAATACAAATTTTGTCACTTAAAGTACTTCTGTAATTGGAAGTATATGACATGACCAACGATTGCCAAAATAAAGGCCAGGTGAGGGACATATATATATAAAATAAGAAATTTAGAACTAATATTTCACAAAGACCAAAAATCTAATTATTCTAACTAGAATTTACTTTGTTTTTCCCTTGCTTTGGTGAAGGGCTAGAATTTTCGGGAGAACTACTGTAATTAAAATACATTGAAATGGTTCATTGGCTAATTTTGAATACAGAAAAACAAGGATTTTTGTATAAGATAGATTTCAATGTTCCTCCCCCCTGACAAAGCGGCACTGAAGTTGGTTGAATTCTTCTTCTGATATGTTTATTTTTCTTTAAATTTCATTAATTTTTTGAACTGGGGTATTGCTTACTTGAAATTTATTAATTATGAATTTCAATTTTTGGTCTTTGTGAAAAAGTAGTTCTAATTTTTTTTACTGTATGTCTTTACTTATATATATTTTACTAGCAATCTTTTTTGGAAATTTTGCTATGAAATATATTGTATTATGCAAATGTGTAATATATAATATCAGGGGGAAAAACAACCTAAACATTAAACTTACAAAAAAAAAAAAAAAAAAAAAAAAAAAAAAAAAAGAAACATGACAATAATATAAAATAAAACAAGAAGGGATTTTTTCCACCATATTCGCTTAATAATGGAAATTTCAATTACTTAAAATGTTTTTTTCTGGCACTATGCACTTAAAAGACAGACAGTTTATCAAAATGATAATAAGACAGACAGTTTATCAAAATGATAATATTAATACTTACATTTTTGTCTTTTCTTCAATAATCTTTTTTAATTCTTTCTCCTTATTTTGAAGCTGAAATGTAAAGAATAAAGTAATGAGAGAAAACATTTCACAACAAATACATAAGAGAAAACCTCAGCATAACATATCATTTCATAAGATGTAATTATTAAAATAAAAACACATGAGAAATCACGACTTTTAAAAATTCATAATTGAAATGATACTGCATAATTAAGTGGTAAATCATACGATTCTTAGGAACTAAAAGAAAAGAATTTGGATATTTTAATTTATTTGAAAAAATTCGCGGGAGAAATGTTTTTCTGCTAAAATTTATGACTTTGTAAACATTTATATTTTTAGCATTAATCAATGAAAGACATTTTTGATGTCATAATATACTTCAGCCTCATTTCACTGTTAAGCCTTATTTTCACCACTCAGGTAGGCATATACTCTAACTCTTAAGCCCTGTTCACAAGAGCAAATTCGACCGGTAGTGAAAATTGATTTTTCCATCGACCGGTAGTGAAAATTGATTTTTCCAACGTATCCCGTTCACATGGCGGCGAGCATTAACAACTTCTCTGAATTGGAGGTAGAACATTCCTACCTCTCAGGAGCAGGGCAAATGGGGAGATTTCCCATACTGCACTGCGTGATAGCGCTGTTCACTTAATGACTGCTCGCTGGACCGTCAGTGAAACAATCGCACTGGTAGATATCTGAGGACGCAATATCATCCAAAAAAATTACATAGAACTGTACGAAATATGAAAATTTGTAAACAAGTACGGACAATGCTATTTGATGCTTGGTATTCCAGAAATACCTTTCAAATAAAACCAAAGACGCCCATATCAGCTTCAACTCGACTAGAGGATTTGATACCTTTTGAATGAGTTTTTTTTGTTTAACAACTTTCATCTAGTTTTATGAACGTTATTAAATGGTTTTGTAAGACGAAATAATTTTAAGCTGACAAAAAAAAAAAAAAAAAAAAAAAAAAAAAAAATTCCAGATTTTTTTTAATTTAAATTGGTTGGAAGAAAAGTTTAACAATTAAAATGTCATTCTTCTCTCACAATTTTCAATAATTTTTCCCCTATTTTCTTATTAGAAAGTTCTTAATAACTTTAAGGATAAATTTTGCAATTAATGAATTAGTTTCTGAGAAAAAACAAAACACATTTTTATGCAAAAACTTTGAAACAAATATTATCTCAATTATATTTCCACTTCATACAATTTTTCTTTTCAGTATTTTGCAAAACCCATTGTTATTTCTATAAAGTATATAATTTCAATTAAGCGGTAAAAATATTAAATAATTTAATCCATCTCTATATAAGTTTTAAACCTTTAAATAAAAGAATTTATCGAAAAAATGCAAACTGAGAAAACGCAGTTTAAAAAATATAAGCTGTCTATATGGTCATTAAATCATTTCAAATTGCTTAAAAATTTTATTACTAAATTCCATAGATAGACATAGATATAAAATAAACCCAGTGCTATTCCATTGATTAATATAAACATAAATTACAAACTTTTATTTAAAATCTTCGTAAAACATGTTCAAAACAATTTTAACAGATGAATTAATATAATATATTCTCTAAAACGTTATAATTAATATTAATACTTATTAATTTGTCATTTATTCCTTTTTTCAAAAAGCAAAGTTGAAATTTAGAAGCCATAAAACATTTTATTTAAAACCACTCAGCAGCATATGTGGTTTCTTTTCTTCTTTTAATCATTTGATCTCATACATAAATTGCATTTAAAATTAATTTAGGTGTATTTTAATTAATTAAAGAATTAAACTCCGATGGCATTCTATAGCAATAGTAAACAATGTCAAAAAGATGCAAGTAAATGTTAGAAATCTGCCAAATCTGATTCGCGTTTGTGACATCATTCATTGCTCGCCATGGCTTATGGGTTAAGGGATTGAAGACGATGTGCATCTGAACCAGTCCTGAAAGCGAAACTGCTTCATATCCCCGTTTCTCCCTAATACAAATGGTAGATGTGCGAAAGAGCATTGCATGTGAACGGGGCTTTAGAGGAGGGAAAGGAGAAGTAAATAGGACTGCAATATGAGTGGTTGTTTACTGTTATACATGTATATCTCCACACCATTTATTTTTCATCCCACTTGATGTCATTCTTTTGCCTTAGGTCTTACAGTGTTGATTCCATTTCAGGTTTTCTGCAATTCTACTACTCAAGGACACAAATTATGTTAACTGCAGAGTATCATGCAAGTCACTATATTTAGTCTTTTCAGTTTACAAATCTTATTATAAAAATCTAATTATTGGGAAGCATTTTATAATGCAAGAACATATTATTGATATTTATTTAGCTTAAGTGCTCACAAAGCATTAAGGACTTACTTAAGTTGAAGTGATTAAAAACTTTTTCTCAAGTATTTTTAGTAATCTTAAATATTTGAAAACAATGTATAATTAAATTAAAAATATAAATACTGTTCTTAAAAATTGAGATAATTATAAAGTACTTTAAAAAAAGAAGCGATTTTGTAGAGTTATTCATTAGGTTTTATTGAAGCAGGAGTGAAGCAGTGAAAAATGTGAAATGCCCTCACCAGGACTTGAACCTGGACCTCTTGAATATGAGCCGAGTGTGCTGCCGGCATGCAGAAAGAAGGGAGAAAATGCCTTATATACTTCCTTTTTTAAAGGGTGACTGGGGATTAGGGGACCCAATCATCAGATCCTGGTGGTTAGATCATCATCCACCACCTTTTTGTTCAGGTACCACTGTAGAATCATTAGGTTGTTTTAAAGCAGGAGTACATGAAAAATGAGCAATGATGTCACAAAAACTCGAACCTGGATCTCTCAAATATTGCACTGGAATGTGCTACATTGCACCACGAAAGCAAGTAGAAAGGAAAGAGAGAATACCTTATAATTTAATAAAATTATAAGATGCCTGAAGACAGAATACCAACATAAGTATAATAAAAAGCAACCAAAAGTGAAGATCATGAATAGAAACAAACAAATAGATAAAGGGGGGGACTATCTGAATTCTCCAATTATATATATGTATACTGTGCATGCATACACACACATACATAAGTTAGTGGGCTTTCACTCCTTGCCATGATGGTAATGTCATCATCTAAATTAGGATTTGGTTTCTTTCCTTTCATTTTTAAGCAAAGGTATTTGAAGAATATAAAAACTACAATGCTGATATTTATGCATAAGCATGAAAGCAATACATAACAGACATTTTTGTTATGCTGTCCAAATGGTAGCTATTTTATTAACATCATGATATCATTCTGAAGTACTATAATATGCTAAGAATCTCTTTGGCATTGCTACAGTCCAATCTGTGTTCCTCCTTCATTTTATGGTATTTAAGTCAAATTTAAGCGTGTTCTTCTACATGGTAATTAAAAGTATATTTTTCTTACCTCTCACTGCAATGTACATTTTAGTTTGACTTTTACAGCAAGCAAACAAAAGACAACTGTGAATTCAGTTTACTTGCATTAAATATAATATAACATAGGCTATGTTTGTAGGCTATAATCGCAGAAGAGTTTTCACATATAGACACAGCATTTTCAGTCTAGAAACTTTCTAAACAGCACTCATTCATATTTACATATATTAAGACAATAAAAAAAACATAATACAGATAAATGCTGTCTCAAAACTTACACAAAATTGAAGCAAATAGGATATATAGATATATATATATATATATATAAAAAAAAAAAAAAAAAAAAAAACTATAGTCAGACCTATATTTTTTACATTTGCAATGTTTTTTTAAAACTGGTTCTTTTTGCTACTCATTTTTGGTTTTGAATATATAATGTTTACGCATTATATGATCTTCCAGATATAAACCAATTATAACAATAAATATTATTTTGTGTACAGACATTACTTGCAATTAATACTATTTTTTAGTGACTTACAACTTATATGCACACATTTGCCTATTTATCTATACATGTGTATATCTCATAATGCATTACATATATATTCGCAAATGAATTTCTGTTTAGTATGTCTTAAAAAATTGCTTGCATAAAAGGTTAGATAATAATACAGTGATATAAATGAGCTATAATTTGTTTGGGACAATTAGCTACTCTCTATTAAATAGAAGAAAATGATAGAACAGGATTTGACCAAGTGATGACAGAAGCAGTATTTGGAAGCTCTACTACTATGACAGATGTTAACCGCTTGCATGATTATCCCGAGTTATCTCGGGTTCGTATTTATTGCAGTTAATTATTATCCCGAGAAAACTCGGGCGAAGCAGAATTTGTTAGTACAATTTCTTTTATCACGGTTTTATTCGGTCTGGAGGAAATGAAAGGAAATGTGCAGCTTTGATTGGCAATTTGCCAAATTTTGTTGTTTGCACGATTCTTTTGGAGGGACTGGCCACGTGTTTCCCTTTGTATAGTATACATTGGCTTGCGGATTAGTAATGTATAAAGAAGGATGCATGCGTTGAAAAAAAATAAAATAATGGCGATGATTTTTCAGATAGTGATTATGAAGAAGTGGGAAAAAAAAAAAAAAAAAAAAAAAAAAAAAAATCAAATCCAACGAGACAGTGTACTCTGTGCTCCCGTGAAAGAGATTCCAGCGGTAAGAAAAGAGACCAGATACCAGTGTAGAATGTCAGGTATCACTCTGTGTTGTCCCTTGTTTCAAAAACTATCATACAAAGATTAATATTTCACTTTTTTCCATTTGCCCGAGATAACTCGGGATAGTAAACTGATATTAAAAATAAATACCTTCAAAAAATTAAAAATTCAACTTAAAACCTTCAAAAATTTTGATTTGTTTCATTTTGTTGTATTTAATAATAAAATTTTAAAAATGTGATGATTTTTTGCAATTTTTTTCAAAAAAAATTTGTAAGGGAAGCGGTTAATGCTGCTCAAATTTGATTTTTATAAATATCTTGTAAGGTTTTATCCTAAGTTTTTTAATAGTTATCTTTAGTTAAAGCTACTTTCCTGTGACTCCTAATTTCAGCTTACAATTTCT